TCGATCCCTGGTACAAAACAACAAAACAAATAAACCTACCCACAAAGAAAAGCCCAGGCCATGGCAGATTGATTGCTGAATTCTACAAGAAATTTAGAGAAGACCTGATGCTGCTACTTCTCAAATTCTTCAATAAAATTGAAAGGGAAGCAAACTCCAAAATTCATTCCTGGAAGCAAGTATTACCCTGAAACCAAAACCAGAGAAAGATCCAACCAAAAGTGGGAACTATAGGTCAAGCTTCCTAACAAGTAGAGTCACAGAAATTCCCAATAAGATATTGGCAAACAGAATGCAGCAAATCATCAAGAAGATTATATACCATAATCAAGTAGGATTCATCTCAGGCATGCACGAATAGCTCAACATAGGCAAATCAAAAATGTAATGCATCATATTAACAGTGCCAAGGACAAAAACCTGTTATTATCTCAGTAGGTGCAGAAAAGTTTTTTGTTGTTCTTGTTGCTTTGGTTTTTTTAAGACAGGGTCTCACTATATAGTTGAGACTGACCTGGAACTCACTATGTAGCCCAGGCTACAGAAAACTGGAATAGATGGTCTTTATCTAAATCTGGTAAAGCCATCTATGACAGACCAATAGCCATTATCACACTAAATGGACCAAAACTGAAAGCTTTCACTCTAAAATCAGCAACAAGACAAGGGTGTAACAACCCTTATTCAGTGTAGTTCTAGAAACACTAGCCAGAGCAATTAGACAAGAAAAAGAAATAAAAGGACTAAGGATAGAAGAAGAAGTCAAATTATCATTATCTGCAGATGACATGGTACTCTACATAGAAGACTCTAAAAACTCCACTAAAAGACTTCTAGATTTAATAACCAAATTCAGGAGCATAGCTGAATACAAAGTTAACACTCCAAAATCAATAGCATTACAAGTAACAAACTCATTGAGAGAAAAATTAGGGAAACAGCACCTTTCACAATAGCACCCTCCAATGAAAGAGCTAGGAATCTATCTAAACAGGCAGTAAAAGACCTTTATATGAAAACTGCAGTACTCTGAAAAAGGAGATTGAAGAAGATATCAGAAAATGGAAAGAGATCCCTTGTTCTCGGGTAGGAAGAACCAATATAGTGAAAATGGCCATACCTCCAAAATTGTTATACAGACTTAATACAATTCTAATCATAACACCATTAGCATATCTCACAAAATTAGAGAAAATAATTCTAAAATTCATTTGGAACCAGAAGAGACCTAGAATAACAAAAGCAATTCTGGGCAACAAAGGCAAGGCAGGGAGTATCACAATCCCAGACTTGAAATTATACTACAAAGCTACTGTGATAAAAACAGCATGGCACTGGCACAACAACAACAAAATCCCTGAGGATCAGTGGAACAGATTAGAAGATGCGAAAACAACTCCAAACACACTCAGTCACCTTATTATTGACAAAAGAGCCAAACACCTTCAATGGAGAAAAGATAGCCTCTTTAATAAGTGGTGCTGGAAAAACTGGCTTCCCACATGCTAAAGATAAAATAAATGAAGGAATTTGGCCCCTGGGACAAAGTCAAAGACCTATAGTTACCCACACCCAGAAGAATGTCTACTGAAAAGTTAACTAAAGCAGTCTTTGCACTAGAATCAAAGCTCTCCAGTACAATCACATGCAAGCCTCAACACAAAACAACCAACCAAACAAAAACAGAAATTTGAGCTGTGCGTGGTGACGCACACCTGTGATCCCAGCACTCGGGAGGCTGAGGCAGGAGGATGGCTGTGAGTTCGAGACCAGCCTGGGCTACATAGTGAGTTCCAGGTCAGGCTCAACTACACAGTGAGACCCTGTCTCAAAAAAACAAAAATAAATAAATAAATAAAATTTTAAAAATACAGAAGCTTGCGCAGTATACAAACATGATGTGTTTGGCCTTTGTTTGGCCACTGTGGCAGCCGTGTTTTCAGAGTCATGGCGATTCAAGCCACTTTATCTGCTGACTTGAACACAGCTTTCCTTGTCTCCTGAAGCCACAGGTTGAGTTCACTGAACAGGTTAAATAGGTCACAAAAGTAAGCAACTCCTGAGACCTGTTGGGAGTCACTCAAATGTGCGGCCAGTGATGACTGTTTCTCTAAAGGAAATCTCCAGTGCTGCTCTCATAACGCAGAAACTCTGGCCGGTGGTCTACTCTGTTTGATTGATTTTTTTGGTACCGGGGATCGAACTCGGGTCCTTCTGCTAGTGAGGCAAACGGCGGCACCCCTGAGCCGAATGCCCAGTCCATCCAGTGGTCTCCTTTGAGAAAGCCGCCTTGTCTCAGTGTGTGAGAGACGGTGAGAGTGCTCTGCGTCCAGCTCCACAGAGCTGCACAGACATCAGTGGAGGGCGATGTGGTCGATCATTTTATTGGTTGGGGTTCTCTAGAGGAACAGAATCAACATAAAACCTGGGTGTACATACAAAGGGATTTATCAGGGAGGCTGACAGGATCAAAAGAGCCCAAGTGCGGGGCGGTCGGGATCAGAAACGAATGAGTCCAAAGCAGCCATCTGCACAACGAGACCTCGAGGACCCTGCAGTACTTGGAGGGTGAAGGCCTGGAGGCTCCCTGCAGAGTCTCTCATGTGTCTGAACTGCAAGACTGAAGGAGTCCACGCTGGGAGCATGAAAAAAACAACTGGAGAGCGATATCCAAAGGAAATGGGGAAGACCAGGGCTCCTCCGAGAAAGACAGAAAGTTCCTTCTTCCCTTTCTGGTGCTTTCTGAGCCACAAGCCTCTTGTTTGTTTCCAGCCACCTCTGGGGTGGGTTGTCCCCCTGAGCTTGCCATGTGGCCGGTGCATCCACAGACACACCCAGAGCCTAACCTGCTAGGCAGTTCTTATTCAAGTGAAGTTGACGTATCATATTAGCAATCACAGCAATTTAAGTCAGGTCATGCAAAACATCACTGAGTTCAGTTGACATTTTTCAGCCAGCCTGCCTTCTGCTGTGGATGACACGGTACAAAAACCCACATTCAGAAAGCAACCTGTTTGGCCTGAGAAGTGAAACCCGAAAGCCATTCAGTCATGGCAGCTGCTCCCTGCAGGCACACACTGACACAGAATGACCACTTCAGCTTCCCTGACAGGTCATCCTTCAAAGGCTTGAATAGTTCCACAGCTGCGGGGCTGATTGGCAACAAAAGTACACATAACAGGGGCCGGAGATTTAGCTCCGCAGCACAGCGCCTGCCTTGCAAATGCAAGGTCCTGAGTTCGATCCCCAGTACAAAAAAAAAAAAAGACACATACTTTCATGCACATCCCTCTGAAAGCACAGCACACAAAAACAAGCCTTATGGTCAACAGCAATAGACCCCTCAACCTAGGTGGTTCCTGGAGAGACGTATTAATCCTAATAGTCTCGCTTCATTATCCTCTGCTATTTCATCCGTCTCTCCAGTGGCAGTTCTAGCTGGACCAGAGACATCTGCACCTTTAGAATTGGAGCCTCTCCTAAAATTTTACATCAGACAGATGACCTCAGCAGCAGGCAGGGTGAGTTCCTCTTCAGTGCTAAGGGGCTCCTTAGCTTTAGCCACTCTGTGAGCAGCTAAGGATGACGCCCTCCATGCAGCCCCTGGATGAAGTGGTGGCCTTCCATAACTGCTTCTGTCATTCATTTTTAACTCCGGTTGGCTAGGGTTAGCTTGTAGGCTCACTGAAACCGTGACTAAGACAAGTTCTCCATCCAAAAAAGAAGTGTAGGTGGAAATGGTTAATAAAACAATGAGAGGGCCACATGCAGACCAAACTAAGTGTCAGATTCTAACTTCGAGCCTGCCGCCAGATGAGGCTGTGCCACTGAATGACATCAACTCACTCGCCACTACAAAGCCTGCCACCAGATACAGCTCAGTGTCACTTACCATTCACGGATAGGTTTTCATATGCGTCTGCAAGCAGTTGATTTATGGCCTCTGTGTAGTCACATCTCTGCTAACGTTAAGTTGTGTTTGCAGCTGCTCCCCAGTGCCAGCATCACGGCCTCAGCTCCACCTCAGATCATCAGGAAGTAGAGTCTCACAAGGCTCACTCAACCTCAACCCCACAGATGCACAGCTCGCAGTGGGGTTTGTGCTCCTCTGAGAATCTAATGCCCTACTCATCTGATGGGAGGCAGAGTTCAGCTGGTGATGGGCGTGGAGGGGAGTGGCTGGAAATACAGAGGGGACTTTGGTCACTGGTCTGCCACTCACCTTTTGCTGTGTGGCCCGGTTCTTAAGAGGTCATGGACAGGAATCAACTGTGTACTGGGTGATATCATTCCTCTGGATGTGAAAACCAGAAACATCTCTGGATGTCACCCAGTGTCCTCAGTTATGGCCAGAAGCAACCTATGGTGTGAGCCGCTATTCTAGAACAAGGAGGGGACACATCAGTTTTCCTTTCGACACACTATGTGGAAAATAGGACGGACGGCAGGGTCTATGTGCACGGCCCACAGGCAGGAAACAGTGGCAGGTGTCAGAAGCTGGAGCAGCCATCCCCGGTGTGTCCGATGGGTGAGGTGTCGGCATCCTGGCTGCCCCAGCCAAGGTCCCCAGCAGGGGAGGCTCCTGTAAGGTAACCAGTGGGCAGTGTGTCCCCCAGCAGGTCCTCGTAGGTCAGGTGAGGCCCCGGAGTCCAGGTCTGGCAGCAGAGTTGGACAGCAGGTGACATCTTAGGCCAGTGAGGGTGAGCCTTTCAGAGACTGAGCGCCCAAACTGCACCCCGAAGCCCACTTACTGATCACAAAGCGCCAGCCCTGCAATTAAACTCAGGAGCCATGTTGCCAGCAGGTGAGTCCTGCAAAGGTGAGATCGCAGACAGGTGAGAGAGACCCCTGCAGGTTGGACCCAGGAAAATGAGACCCCAAATAGGTGAGATTCCCGAAGGTGAAGCCAAGAAAGGTGAGACCTCGGACAGGTGAGACCTCGGGGATGAGACTCCCCGCCAGAAAGTACACTGGCAGGTGCACCCCTCGGGTGTGGCCCTCCCAGGAGAGTCTCCACAGGTGAGTCGCCCCGGGGGGCCGGGCCGGCTGCCTCAGGTGAACCAGGCGGCAATGCTGCCCACCGCCTGGTACCTGGGCCCCTCCTGCAGCCGCCAGCAGGCCTTGCAGAAGTCCAGGGCCCAGCTACTGGTGCCCACCCGCAGCGTCTCGCGCCAGCGGAAGTAGCTCAGGTAGCGGGCGTCGTCCTTGTCCAGCGCCAGCAGGTGCTGCGCCAGGGCCTGGGGGCTCGGGAAGTCGTCCACGTGGATGAAGGCGTCGGGCGGCAGGAAACGCTCGTAGTTGCTGCGGCTGGGGCCCAGGACCACGGGCACGGCGGGCGCCTGCAGCGCGTTCTTCCACAGCTTCTCGGTGATGTAGTCAGGGTGCTGCGAGTTCTCGAAGGCCAGGTAGAACTTGTACCGGGCCAGGCGCTCCTGCATGGTTCCGCGGGGCAGCGGCCGCCGGCCCCGGCCGTACACGTCCACCGGCAGGTGCGCCCGCAGTTGGTTGTAGTAGCGCACCCGGGCCGAGCCCTCCCTCCAGTTGGACACCACCCAGGCCACCAGCTGGGTCTTGGCGGAGAGGTTGAGCGGCGGGGCGGCGGGCGGGCCTTCCCGGGGCTCCAGCCAGCCGTAGGGCGTGAAGATGTCCGAGTCGCGGCGGTAGGACATGGTGAGGTTGAAGTAGCCGTCCAGGGCGCGCAGCTGCCTGCAGTGG